AAGGGACACATTAATTACTAAGTCTCGCATTACCATATATATGTCTCAAAACTTGACATATAATTGATGTGCGATTAAATCAGTGGTCATAGGCTCCCCGAAAGGTTTTAAGATTTTAATACCTAAAATACCTCTTATTTATTAGAAGGAGATACTCTTATGACGGTACTTTATAAAGGTATTTGCATACTTATTTTACTCTTTGTCATACATGCGAGCGATCGGCGAGGGTTCGAATCCTACCAAAGTCACAACTCATATTTTTATTTAATTATATTACTATTTTCTTGTGAATTTCTAGTTAATGATTAAGTTGTCAGAATCACTTAATCATCGGCAAAAATCTCATTAATATAATTCACAGAGTATCATTGTTAAATTTGTTAAATAATTTTAGATTAAAAAATTATGAATTTATTAAGTAAATGATCTTCGATTGATCAACGAATAAGCTGTCACTAAGAAGATGACGATCTGTTGGGAGACAGGTTGCCACCTCCTGAGAGCATACTAGATACAATGAAGAGGCTCCTTTTGCTACACAAACTTAAGGATAAAACTCCTTAAGACATGCTCCACCTCCATTTAGCTCATGTTCATCAAGTGACAGCTATTAAAGAGTTGTAAAATCGTCATTTTTTCACTTTGTCGGGTGACAGTTGCCGAAGATGATTCGACAACCCACTTCATTTATTTCTAGACTTCACAAGAAGATTTAGAGACTACTCACATCGTCTATGTCCTAGGTGAGCTTTTGAGGCTGTGAACATTGTACGATAACCCTTCTGAATATATAGAATTTCAGTGATCATTATCACGAAGTCAGAACTATCTTTCTTACTTTCAACTTAATTTTCACTTCATTTAGTGATATTTTGTGTGATTTCAAGTTTCTAAACTATTTTTCATTCAATTACAATTATTTAACTTTTACAAGTCAGAACTAGACAAAACTCTATTTCCATCCAATTTGTGTTTGTCGGGGTGCTGATGTCATATTGACATCCGCACCCTTATTTTCTTTTTTTTGAATTTTAAATATTTTTTAATTTTTAATTTTTAATTTAAAATTTAAAATTTATAAAAAAATTATCATTGTGAAAAACATTTATATTATTTTTAAAAAATTCTAAAATATTACTCAATATTATATTACATCCTTGTGATCTACCTACAAAATTATCATTATTTTTGAAACTTTTATTGAATTATAATTAATATATTTATTTAAAAATACTTCTAAATATCTAAAAATTAGTGTTTTCTTATTTTATAAATTTTAAATTTATGTAATTTATTATACAATGACTAAATCAGGTCAGTTGACAAAGTCAAAGTCACCAAATTTTTCTTGATGTAAGTGGATTGTGATGTTGTTCTGAACATAATAATACTTAAAGAAGGTTTGATGTAAGATAGAGGAATCATAAAAATAGAGAGAGAACAAAAAGGAGAAAGAGATGACAATGATATCCAAGAGAGGGAGAGAGGAAAAAGGTAGTTGTCAAAGTAGATGAACAAAGGGAAAAATCATTCACATAGAATGAGCCCTAGATAACGCATTAACACAACAACTTGTAATGGGCCTATCACACTAATAGTTTGTAATGAGTCTATCATATTAACACATTCTAGGGTTTTCCATGTCTATTTTTCTATTATGTGTGTATGAACACCTCTCCATTCTCATGCTTTGAGTTTTTGAGCCTAATTATATTATTTTTCTTGGTTGGATGACTATGGAGAGGTGTGCATAAATGTAGAACAAAATAATGGATGTGAAGAACCTTGGAAACATATACATCTCATACCATCAAACGTTTACATATAATAAGGAAAGAAGGAAGAGAAGAGTCAATTTAATTAGATTGAAATCATAACAAATGCATAATCTATCATTGGTGCATGCTACTTTCACTCCTAGTTTCCATGTCCACTAATCTCCCTCTCTTTGTCTACCCCTTTCTCCTTTATTTTTTATTTTTTCCAACTTCTTAGAGTTTTTGAAATAGAAATAGAAAACCCAAGTCTTTCTACTGAGATTATGATAGGCTAGAAGAATAGAACCAAGAACTTGACTAACCAAAGGGAGATTAGAGCCTAGATTGATCCTATAGTAAATTAGAATTAATTAACACTCTACCTAGATGATTCCAGTGAACATGATAACCTTGTAAGCCTAATCTTCTTTGAATGCACTATCAAATTCAAACCCAGAAAATCTCCTTTTATTGTACATCATGAAACTTGTTTTTGATTGTCATCCTTGAAGATATATAGATGTTCTAATTTCTATTGACGAAGATGAGCTAAAAAAGGGTCCATTATTTAGATTGAACTGGTGAGAAACTTCTAAAAAAATTGGAGTTCTGACCACTTGATGTGTGATACATGAGAATCCTCTAATTTTTGGTAAACTATATGGCACATATTGTTTCAATCTTAGATTTAGTGGCTTTCTCGTGGAAATTTTCTTGATGTCAGCTTGTTTTGGCAACAAAACTTGATGAACAACTTAGATTTGGACCTTTAGTAACAGAGTCTTGCAAAAAGTATTTATCGTCCATCTCATCAATAATTCAGTGTGCTGAAACTGACATAAAACCCAAACTAGTTAATTATTATCATTATTTTTTGCCATAAATATTCTAACATTGGTCAAAATAATATATTTTTTTCTTACCTTTTTTAGAAAGCCCACACTTCACCCAAATCAGCATATAATGCTTTGTCTTTTTTTCAAAAAACCCATGCCAAACCTAAATTAGTTTTATCATATTTTTTGGCAGACTCAATTTGCTATTGACTAGAAGATCATATATTTTTCTCTCCACGTAGCAAGAAAAAGATAAGGTCTTTGGGCAGGTTCTTCCCAAGCGTGAGGAACATTGAGGAAGAGATCAGATCTGAGTGGACCACGCCGTTATTTTAACATGAAAAATAATTATGTGGACGACTTATCATGGCCCTGGAAAATTATTATTATTATTATTCATCGGCTCAATTTTATATCTAAAAATCTTGTTTATTATCTCCACGTGTCATCCGCTTGCTTAGGAATGTACGGATACCGTCCGCAGAGTGCATCGTCCGATCCAACGCCTGCGATGAGCCCTCACGTGCTCAGAAGATATTTATACCGGTATCATTCGGATTCATCGGTCCGTGGGCCCGGCCTCCGGATATTTTTCAGAAGGAAATATCTCCCAGTGTCGGAAATATCTTCTCTTTTCGGATAGGCCATCACTATCTACAAGATCACGCCCATAACTCTCATAGGAACTTATTTTTAAAAGTACCCTCCCCAAGATAAAACCATATTTCCCTTATTTTATATATATAAATGATAATTTAATTATTATATTCAGTTAATTGAGTGAGGCTGTGAGAGACGTGTGAGATCGGGGTTGGATTTTATTGATTTTTTAAAAATAAATAACGGGTAGACTTTTACTTGGCAAACTTCCGAAGGAAGCCTGGTTTGGTAAATATAATTCTCTCTGTGTCCTAAAAAATATCCGTATTATAGCAGGGATGTGCTGATTAAAGTGCATCGCCTTTTCCGCTCCCTCTCGTTTCTTGCGCCACGTCGGTCGTACGCTCACCTACCATAAGATATCGCAAACTTGTGGGTCCGGAGGGGGTTACTGATGAGGTTAAGTGACCGGCGGAGTTTTAGATCTTCTTCCTCGCCTACTTCTGTCTACTGGTCATACGCAGTGTTGCACATCGGAAAGCAGAGAGCACGGTGGCTGTGGTTATGGCGGTGGCGGTGGCACACTGTCATGGGGGACCTTCCTCTCTCTCGGCTTGATACCTTCCTCGTGGCGCACGGCATTGCCTCCTCCGCCCCCTCCGCCCCCTCTCCTGTCGCTTTCTCCGCTTTTTTCTTCCCCGTTTGCTCTCGTTTTGGTCATCGAAATTTCCGTTTATCTGTCCATCTACGGTAGCATAGAGTTCTTGATGCCTTGCATGCTGCGGAAAGCGATGCGGAGGCCGTCTTGATAGATCTTTTGCGTGGCATCGGAGGTGCGTCTTTGTTGTTGTGAGGATCTGCGGTCGTCGTTTGATCGGTCGGCATCTACATCCGGGGGGAGTCTGGGGATTTTAATGGTGATGTGGATGGGGGAGAGGGGAGAGTAGGCTTGAATCGGGGAGGAGCAGGCGTGAGGCGGGTGGGGGAGGAGGAGAGGGAGATGGAGATGGAGATGTTGCTCAAGGAGATTCCTAGCGCCGCGCCAGGTCTTTTTTGGGACCAGCAACGCCTGGTGGAAGAGCAAAGGGAAGAGATGCAGCGGTTACAGGGGCTGGTCGAGGAGACCATCTATCGGGGCGGGTATGCGCATTGGGGAAGCAACTCTGTATTTGAAATCCCGGGAATTCGCACCGCCGCCGGTCGTTCGGACGGCTCACCGCCGTTCCTTACGGGATGCAATTCCGCGGCCGACGGCGTATCTCGATTGGTTGTGGATCGGACGAACCTTTCTCGCTCGCCGTCCGTGGATGAGGGGAGCCTATTTCGCCACCTCATCCCAGATTATGGCGAGTTAGATGCCTGTCTGTCCTCCACCGCCGAGCAGCAAGCTGAGCTCGGCTTGCTCCGCCGACTCCGTTCCATCCACTTAGGGGACGACATCGACCCGGCGACGACTGGGAACGTCTCAGCCGACCCTTATGGAATCTGGGGTGCCCTGGGGGACGTTTCATCCTCCGGTGGCTTATTCAACGAACGTTTTGACGAGTCCAGGACTTCGTTGGTACAGCTGCAGCATTTCAGTCCGAGTTCCAGCATTCTGCAGACATGCCCGTCTTCCCTTGGTTTACATGGCTCTCCGACTTCGCATCCTGGTAGAGTATGTTCTGCACCCTTCAACAGTCTGAACAATGGCGGTGTGTGGGCTGGTCTGCGAGATAACCAGAGTTTTGGTTTATGGGAAGATCCTTTCGATACACCAGCACAAACCCTGGATGCTTTTTCCACCGACAGGAACGAGGTAGTCATGGACCTTCTGGCATCACACAGGAACAGCTTCGACTCCAACGATCTCTGGGATGTGGTTACTCCCCCCATTTCTCCTCAGACTGTGCTGACTGACTCACAGCCCGGTATTTCTCACCTTCACCAACAGAAAGGATTGTCTCCCAATGATTGTGATCTCCATTATCTGACACCAATGAGAAACTCGCAAGGGATGAATCGCTTCTCTTGTGAGGACAGCTTCATCATCCACCAGAAAGAGCTGCCCTGCGAAGTTGGTAACAATGGGAACTTGACACAAATGGTCGGTGGGTTGAGTTCCAGAGGGGCTCCTCCCTTAACTGCGAGGATTCTTCAGAGTCCAAGGCCTTATCATAAGCCTTATATGATGCAAAAATTTGAGTCTCTGGCGGACATCCAGGGTTCCATACCTCTTGTTGCAAAGGACCAACATGGATGCCGATACTTGCAGCGCATTTTTGATGAAGGGACGGAGGAGGAGAAAGAAATGATATTTAATGAAATCTTATATCATGTGCCAGAGCTTATGGTGAACCCTTTTGGGAACTATCTTATGCAGAAGATATTGGGCGTGTGTACGGAGAAACAAAGACTAGAAGTCGTCTTCTTTCTCACAAAGAATCCTACAGACCTTGTTAAGATAGCTCTAAACATGCACGGGTATTAACTTCCTTGCTGATTCACTGTTCTTAATTTGTTTAGAACATATGCAATTGCATCTAGAATCTTTCTCCGGTTACTGACACTTGTCACTGGATTCTCTTTGGTTTGTTTTAGGACCAGGGCCTTACAGAAGCTGATAGAGGTTCTGAAGAACGAGGAGGAAACCAGCCTTGTTATATCTGCAATTAAGTCAAGTTTTCTTAATCTTGTAACTGATCCAAATGGCAATCATGTTGTACAACGTTGCTTGCGACACTTCAGTGATGAACAGAGTAAGGTAAATATGTCTTCTCTTCGTGGTTATGAATTAAGAAGGGCATCTAAACTCTCTGCTTTTTTTATAGCTTAGAAAAATCACATCTTCTTCATTATTCACTGAAATCATATCTTACTTTTTCTACAGTTTATTTTTGAAGCTGCTGCAAGTCACTGTGTTGACATTGCAACTCATAGGCATGGATGTTGCGTTTTACAACAATGTATAGCTCATTCAACTGGGAAACATCAAGAAAAATTGCTCACAGAAGTTTGTAGGAATGGATTTACCCTGGCTCAAGATGCTTACGGGTAATTAGAGGAATTTGCTTGCATTTAAGCTGAGAATTCGAGACGTTGATTATTTGTTTGACTTCCCATCCATATACGTCTCCACATTGCTGAGTATCTGGATACTTTCAATGATGATTTCACCTTTTTGTGGCCCTTGGTATCAATAGTATGTATACACAAACAGAAATTCTTATCTCGAGGGAATTGTCCATCGTATTTATTTCTGTTACCTTTTAAGTGACACATGACTCTTTTCTACCGCTTTCCCATTCAAAGCTCTTTTCAAATTCATCCGAGAAAACTGCCAGTATACTGAAAAATTGAAAACAGAGTAATTCTCATCACAAATTGAGTATTGGGAATTGAGACAACCATATCCGCTTCCCAAGTTGATGCTGATGAAATGCTGATAATTTTTTTATTTTTTATTTGAAACAATCTCAAAGAAATTTCTGAAATTCATTATGATAATGTTGAGATGCTTGAGATATTATGGAAGCTCACATTGTTGGATGCCAAACATAACACTGCTAATTGTAAACTTTTGATCGCATTTTTTCAGGAACTATGCTGTTCAGTACATATTAGATACGAAAAATCGGTCAGCTATGGAGACCCTGAAGTCAGAATTCAAAGGGAACTACGCCCAGCTCTCGACGCAGAAATTCAGCAGCAATGTCGTGGAGAAATGCCTCCGGGCGTTTGACGAAACGGGGAAGAAGACGATCGTCTCCGAATTGCTCTCGGCCTCATGCTTCGATCATCTGATGCAGGATCCCTATGCGAACTACGTCATCCAGTCCGCATTACTCGTCTGCAAGGTCCCTCCCTCTCAGCCCATCTGCCATGCCCGCCCATACATATATCATTCAACGAATCATCATCTCTGACCCTGACTCCGACTCCATTTATCTTTCTTTCCCATTTTTGGCAAAAATTTCCAGGGTCAACTCCGCACCTCCTTGGTCGATGCTATCCGCTCTCGATCAGTTCTCCGGAGCAACCCATACTGCAAGGGGATCTTCAACCTGGTGAAGAAGTGAGGCCCACTCTTCACCACCAGAATCCAACTCCAGGTGAAGAACATCCAACACTTTCTGTTGCGTGAGGCCCGGCATCGGGCAGCAGGTATGTGATGCGGATTCTGTCCAGATCTTGTGCCATGATGAGAAAAAAATCTCGATTGTGTTTGCAGGGCAGTGTAAAGAAGCACAGAGGCCTTCCTTTTTCTTGTTTCGAGATGGTTGAACCTCTCCATATATGATGAGAATGCTCCATCACATGATGATCTCATGATGAATGAAGTGGCAATACATACAGTCGGTCAAAATGGCCCAAGCCCTCTGCATGTTTCCCTTAGAGAGAGAGAGAGAGAGAGAGAGAGAGAGATTGTCTGATGTTTGAGGGTCAAACTAGAAATCTGCTGCTGGGCCCAATTATTATCTTTAGTCACTTGTAACAATTACAAGTCTTACTTTATTTTAAAAGTCAAAGGCTACTAATTATCATCTTTAGAAATCTGCTGCTGGGCCCAATTGTTATCTTTAGTCACTTGTAATAATTACCAAGTCTTACTTGACTTTAAAAGTCAAAGTCTACCAAGACGTTAAATGTGTACGTTGCTCACAGCTCGCTGTTTCTACATCAAAAGACAAATACGTGGGTCAAGGAACCCGTGAGAAATGGTGCAATGGGTGACATCGATTCGAGGAAGTCAACCCACATCGATATGTCTCCCAAAATCATTGACTTTTATGGTGCGGGTAAATCGTCACTTGAAAGAATTTGACCCATCTCAGGTTCAAAGAGGGTCAACCTTTGAAAACGCTAGCTCGGACAATCCCTTCCTTTCGGGGAATCCAGATTCGATCTTCCGCGAGACCGGTTCATGGAGCACCTGGAGTACGTAGTGCTAGGCATTTCGTTGTACGCTCGTGGAAATAAAAATGTCATCTTCATCTTCCCACCCAAGTTGCGACGCTGACATATCTCTGTCCCTCTCATAAATGCACACGTTCGATGCCTCTTGATGCTTATTTTGGCCGCGGAGGGCGGCTGGCCAATCAGCTACGCGTAAAGGATCGGGCTGCCGACTTCAAGATTCGCGATGAGCGCGAGCCTCGCTGGCGATTCTCTGCCACGTGGCATTCTTGGAGTTATCGGCACTTTTTTCACAAAAGCCCTCAAAGATATTTATTATCTTATTTTAGTCTCCCAAACCCTCCAGATTCGATAAAACAAGGGGAGACGCGGAAAATTAGAATGGTAGTGGCCGTCATCGAGATAAAAACAAAAAAACGTCCGCAAAAAAAAAAAAAACCATTTTCAGGGCCTTGAAGTCAAATGAAGGATTTTTTTCCGAAGATTTAATCTCACCGTTCTCATAAATTAATGAGAAATAATGATGAAGCGTCAAAAACTCAATTTATGGGACCAATTTTAAATATATAAATGATCTGTGGAAGGAAAATCAAAATGTTTCCAATGATTGAATGGGTAAAAATCCGATTTTTCAGTGAATTAATGGTTTCATCGACGCCGAGAGGTGAAAGACGTCACAATCCAGGAGTTTGAGAGGTAACAGAGTAAATCGTTTGATTTTAAGCAAGTATAAGATGTAGAATCCGTCTCTATGCTTTCGAGAACTGGCGCGGAGGTGTTGAGGGAGGGAGGGGAAGAGAGAGAGAGAGAGAGAGGCCTTTCTCGGGCCGAAGCCCTGCTTGCAGAGGTTAGGGTTAATTGATTATTGCCGGCTTCATTGGTGGTGGTGGTGGTCTGGGCTGCGCTGTTGGTTCGGCGCTTCCAGGTAGGGGAGTCGGACGGGTTTGTGCTTTCTTTGCTGGGAGTCTTCAGAGCTTCCCGGGGGGTAATGTTCCGGTGTTTTTGGCGTTTCATTGATTTTCTGTTATGTTCTAAATTTTTGGGTATCCTCCAGATTGGAGGAGGAGCGAGGGAGGGAAACATGAGATCGGAGCCAGCGGTGCTGTGTAGCTCCTTTGGACAGGGATTGCATCTGGCCGAGTAATGCGAAATTGGAGCATGTATGAGGTGAGGATATTTCTTTTTACTGTTCTAGGAAATTCTTAATTTTCCGCTGATTCCATCAGTTCCCTTGTGTTTGATTGTTTGCATTCAATTACCTCCACGCCCCACCGCTCCTCCTCAACCGAGAAAAAAAAAAAGAAAAAAAAAGGAAATATCGACGACTTTTATTGGAAGCTATTTCTGAGTGATGCTTTTAATTTCATTCATCCTCTTCGAGGTGCTTCAGCATGGTATCTGACAGTAACTTGCTAATTAGTTGTTTGAGATGATATATGCATATAAAACGTCCCCAGTGATTGGAAATAGGTGCAACAATGAAGTAAATGATTAATTTTTGATGCTTGTAGAATAAAAGAATAGGTCAGAAATCTTTCATCACTTCTCTTTACTTCTATTATCAGCAAATTTCAATGAACGATAATATCCAGAACAGTTATCTATGCCGGGTTTATCATATAATTGGAGGCAATCCATAAAAAGTATGTAAGGAATCATGAAAAAAGATAAATCAGCTCTTGATATGAACCCTTGCTAGATAATAAATGTTGTTGTAACCTGGAGGAATTGAGTTAGAGAAAGTCCATGAAGCATACAGAAATACGGATTAATGTGATAATTGCATACTTTGACTTACATACTGAAACATTGAGGATTTCGCATTTGTCGGAGAGTAAAGAGAGGATGGAGCATGAATGAGCTTGCAATTTTTTTTATTGTGAAAGATACCACTTGGGTTCACCAAAAATAGAAAAAAATAAGATCATGTCTTCAATTGTTCATTAGAATTGTGATAAATATAAAATATTCTAAAATTTTGAACGAATATTGAGGATTTTGAGACTTATTGAACATGAACACGTGGCATCACATCTTATGCAAAGATTGAATATCTGCCTAATATTTTATAACGGTAAGTTACATCATATTACCTTCCCTTATTATATTGTGTGATCTATTTCTTCTGTTTAGGAAAGTTTTTATCCTCAAATTTCTTCATAGCAGCACATATATTCCATCGATGTTCTAAGTCTGTTATACCTCATAGTTGCGTGTACTGATAAATTATTGTTCTGTGACTCGTCTTTCCAGCTAGAGGAGACTGTCTGGGAAGAAATCAGCAACACTGAAGATAACCCAGTCCCTGTTTGTGTTCATGGCTCTGTAGATGACGGTGACAGCAATTTACATGAGAAAAAAAGGCAAGAAATAGAAACTCCAAATTTAGGGACTGATAAAAGTAAGGCCTGTCGTAAGGCAGATGAGATCAACGGTCATTCTTCCCTCAACGATGGGGAGTGTCCACAAGCCGAGTCTCCATCCAATCTATTAGATCTATCTGATGCATTTCCAGCGGCTTCTCATTGCCAGTACATCAACGAGGCATCAAGCGTACCGTCAAGTGACTGTAGAAAATCTGTCAATTACTTCGATGGACATCAAGTAAATACACAGGGAAATGGGTTCTGTGAAGATAAGCCCATTGTTGGGAATGCAGGACTTTCCAATGTCAGCCATGCATGCCACTTATCACCTTATAGTATGTCTTCAGAGAACAAAAGGCTTGGGTTGAAGAAAAATGGAACCTTAATGGAAACTGGTCTTCTGGATTGTGAGTGGGATGAAATTGGAGATTTCGATCTGTTCAGGTAAATGATTTGATCGTCAATTTATGGTAAAATGAACTCTTACGTATAATCGAAGGGGCCTTTTTCCATTCAAATGTCTTAAACCTTTCTACGATGGTATTGGATTTGTATTTTCCTTTAGTCTGATAATCCAATTTATGTACGCTCGCACTTTCTTGTCAGGAACTATGAGACCAAGTTTGGGAGTGGGAGCACTGGACCTGCTGATGAATTTTCATGGTTTTCATCTCCATGTACGATTGATGGACGGGGGGTTGCGTATGAATTTAATTTTCAGTCTTCACATTCGGAGCTGAATGCACTGAACGATTCATCAAAACTTTATGGAGACAACATGAATTTCCTGCTTGAAGATAAGCCACTTGCTGAAGTCTGTGGCCATTCTTCTTTTGCCAATTGCACTGATGCCAAGTGGATGGATGCATCTATTAAGGTATTATTATGATAAAATAGCATTATTTTATTAGTTTTTTTAATAAAAATATTTATTTCCGCTTAAAAGTTGAGTAGACATTTATTTTGATGTGCACCCATGATGCTGTGTGAAATATATATCCGGGAAGGTGAAGATATGGTGGGGTAGGTGACACAATATCATCTGTGATGGCATGACAGTAGAATAAGAGGAATCAAGGTTGTGAAATACTGCCCATGACCTATGGTAGAGTAATTGGCAAACACTGTCACCTATGAAGGCACTTACGGGTGTAACGCAAGAATCTCATTCCTCTGATCGTGTCATCGGAGTTTATCAGAAACCTTTTCTAGTAGGTGCGACATATTATTTTTAAGTACTTCCCTTAACATTCAAACACACATTTTCCATCGTCTCTTGAGACTAAGATTCTATCTTTGATTTAGCCTTCCACCTTATTGCATGAATGGTCGAATCAGACAGAACTGATTTGGCTCTCACAGTGAGCGAATTGACCGAATAGTCTAATTTGAAGCAATTAATATAGTATTTTTATATATTGATGTGACTTCTTGATGTTCTAATAAGAAACTTTAAAATAATATTATAGTACCCGTTCTCCTACCGTAGTTTTAAGGAGAACATATGGCTTATAAGTTACTTGACCTTCATATATGCCATAGAATACTCTAGACCGTGCTAATTACATGTTCTTTCTCGTTGTAGTGGATCAATGTTCAGTTTCCTTTAGTCGTTTGTGTCTGACAAGTTTGACCCCCAAATTCTTCCACTATATGTACATATATATTTGTTGGAAATTGTAGTCGAGGATATATTGATTAAAATGGCATATGGTTCTAGCTCATTAGATTGTAATACTCACATTGTTCCTTTGAATAAATACATATCACATCGTTTCTACTACTTCGTGGATGTT